GACGGGATTCTCTGCCTTGAGTTTGTGTGACATTTGAACAGACCGGATGGAATCATGAGGATGACCACACAGTCAACCTTAGAATTATCCTAGGACTACTCTCCTGCTCACACAATGGCCAGCAGTGTTTCCAAACGGTGTTAGTTTCTCAGGAAAAGAGAAGTAAAGATGCTGGAACTAAACGTTATTTCTATTCATTTATTTGGCCCAATCAGTTAATAAATAAGTCCCTTGTTGGAAAGTACAGGATGACTAAGAATTAGCCCTGAGGGAAAAACCTAGTGGGGAAATTTGGCTAAAAACCATGGCTTACATGACCACACTCCGGCTTTGCTTGTTCTCGAGGCCTGTGGACATCTGTGGACATCCGGGTGTTAGTGCTACTGGAGAAGTGTGAGCAGTGGAGCGTATTTGTGGAGATTTGTTGGTTGGGCTGACTTAAGTGTTCTTCCTAAGTCGGAGGAGCAGCTTCAGGTGGCAAACTTGGGGCAAAAGGGAACCTCCCTTTTGTAAGACTTCCTCATCCTTGAGGCTAAGGAGAAGAGGGTCAAGAGCTCGGGGGGATTAACCCTCGGGGTTCCCCCTCAGTGGGCCGGCAGCAGCCCTGGGAGAAGCTACTGTCTGGCAGCCTCACGCATGTTTCTGAGGAGCTCAGCATCTCTTCTGATGGTCACCCACGCTTGCCCCTCCCACTGGAGTTTTGCTTGAAGGGCAAACCTTACTCTCATTTCCTTTTTCTCTTGATCCTTTCCCCCTACGCCACCAAGCCATGGCTTACTTATTTTCTTTCTTTGTAGGGCTGTGCACCAGCTCACTTCTTCAACCCTCAAGAGGGAAACTGCAAACTTGGGAACAACACTAGAGAGCTTCTACTGTGCCCCAGGGCTCCTTCCGTGATATGGAGCAAACCCTTCACAGCGAATTAAAGGTTCTCTCCACACCCAGACCCTCAGCACCATGGGAAGGCTGAGAAGGGAAAGTGAGAATTTCCATCGTTCTAGAACTTTCTCTCCTGACCTCCAAACTGACCAGATCCTGAAATGGCAGCATTAAACACGTTATGATTTAAAACACGCCTCCTTGGTGTGCTTTTTTTGAGAGAAAAACAAAACAAGCAAACAAAACCCCACGGCTTCCAGCCTAGGCAGGGAAGGGAACAGGCTACCTTGGGGGTTTTCCCAGGGTTAATGAACAACTGCTTGAGGCAGTGGCTGTGGAACCACGATGCTTGCTGATGATTTTTTTCCTTCACAACAAAGTAGGAAGACGTGAAGAAGGCAGCTAGTGGTGTCCAAGGGCAACCACTGTGTTTACTTTTCCTCTGCCTTCCTGGTGAAATCAAGGGCCACCCATGAACTCTTCTCTGGCGCGTGGAACAGTGACTTCCCCACTCCAGAAACATCCCGGGAAACGATCTCTAGATTTCACAGGAATGTGGCCCCAAGTTACCCTAAAAGCGCTTCACATCTTCCTTAGAAACAGAGTCATACACCGATGAGGGGATATTTATAGTCAAAGGAAGAAAAAGATTAGTGTAAACGCATGCCTTAGTGCATCTGTGCGGCGGGAGGGGATTATCCGCAATGAAGTTACACAGAGCAGCAACTTCTCCTGTCAACAGTGTGAATTGTGACTAATGTGTTTTGGAAATTTCTAGAAATGCTGAATACAGCGTTTCTCACACACAGTTGTTCCAGCAAGAACGTGATGTGTGGGGGCCGAAAATGAGCTAAGAACTAGACACTAGTCTGAGCTGACTTTGGGCTGGAGTGAGATGGGTGAGGGCAGTAAGGTTACCCCGGCTGGGGACTGGGAAGCCCTAGCTTTGACAACCAGCAGGGACACAAGAGGAGTCCTGGGTGTCTGGAGGAGGAACGGCCGGCCATTGCAGGCACACAGTGCGGGAGATGGGCAGAGAGCAGGCACTCAGCGGGAGCATAGACCGGGATGGCAGAAGCGTTGGCTTTGGAATTTATGAAAGCAGTCCTGCTTATTAAAACAAGTGAGGGAGGCAATCGCTTAAAAGAAATAGCCTTGGACTGAAATGCACTCCTGTAATCTTGGTTCCCAAGGGAGGTGGAAGCAGGGGGAGCAGCCTTGCAAGGTTCTTCTCAGATGCGGTGTGAGTTTGAGGTTAACCTGGGGATATGTGATGCCTTTGTGCAAGCGCTTATATGAGTGTGTGTGTGTGTGTGTGTGTGTGAGAGAGAGAGAGAGAGAGAGAGAATGTGTGTGTGTGAGAGAGAGTGTGTGTGTGCTTGTGCGTGTATGTGTGGGTATGAGTGTATGTGTGTATGTGTGTGTATATAATCCCAGCACTTAGGAGGTAGAGGCAGGTTTTGTAACTATGTAAGTTACAAAATTGTATGAAGCAAAATATGGACAGAATTTCAAAGGTCAATGGATAATTCCATAGTTACAGAGCAAGAATTTGACACATCTCTTTCCGTAATTTGAGAGTTCTAATAACAAAAAGGACATAAAAGTCTGATCATCACAGTAACCAAACATGATTAAAAAACAAACAAAAACCCTCTGACCTCTGTAAAGAATATGCTTCAGGGCTCAGTGGTTAAGCGCTTGCCTGCACTTCGAGGACCAGAGATCTGATCCCCAGGAACCACATAAATGCCAAGTGGGTGTGGTAACTGTAATTCTAGCCTTGGAAGGCGGAGGCACTGGCTCTCCAGAGCATGCTGGCTCTCACCAACAAATCGCACAGTGGCCAACAAAACAATTCTTGAGATGTTGCAAAAATTGTAGTTCTGCACTGTTAGACACCTGTAGTGACCGTGAAACCTACTTGGAAGAAATGAAATCTTTAAAACAACTGATGAGTCAAGAAATGCCATAATGGGAATTAAATGGCATTCTGAGAATACACTGTTAACAAGCATGTAAAGTTCTATTCACTGGTTAAGAACTCTTGGAAAAATATAGTTTAGGAAACACATATTAAAATAGTCACCAAAAAATGTGAAAGTGCCTTGGAATACGTTTATCTGAAGATGTGAGAAATGCCTCTATGTGAAACTTAAAACATTCCTGAAGACCTCAATAAATGGAGAGATACATGGTTTTGGTGGATTTGTGGATCTGAGTTCTAAATTTCTTAATTATACAGTGTATGGTTTGGATGGTTTTGTATTTAAATGTCAGCTACATTGTTTTAATATTTTAAGTTGATTCTAGTCTGCATATAGTTCAAGGAACCAGTAACCCTGGAACAGCTTTGGAGAGGAAGTTTTATGCCTGAGGCTTAACTCCTGCACTGTGTGAAGGCCAAGATAATTTCCAGTCCAGAGCATGTATGATGCTAGTGCAGGGAGAAACAGAGAAGACTCCAGAAGCAGGCTTACTCTTTTATAAAAGTATGTGTGGAGCAGACACATCATTTCAGATCAGCAGAGGGAAGAGTTGAGCAGCCTTGGCTCTCCTTGGTTTGGGCTATGCTCCCTCTTCTACTAATGCACCTGGCAGCCTGACATCCTTACCCACACCGCTGTGTGCACCTCCCCTCCCCCAAACAACCTTTTGGCTGCCGAGGACCCTGCATCAGGCTGCACACACATCAGACTCAGAGCTCTGCAGTGAGGTTATCTTCCCTTAAGGTCCATCAAACTTAGATTTCGTTCAGTTACGCTCTAGTTATAGCCAGTAGGACAGCAGGGAGGCTGATCCTGCCTGAAATGGTTTGGGGTGCATGTCCAGTATGGCAAACTGTGCCTTGGAAGCAAACTTTTAGGGAAAATCCCCTTTGTGCTACCTTATACATGTGTATAAGTGGGCATGCCTATAGTTTTCTTCAGAAGTGGGGGCCCTGGTAGGTTGCCATGCCACAGTGCACAGCCCTAGAAATTGAGAGGGAGAGACAGTGAGGAGAGGGTGAAAGAGAACTTGAAGTTGGCAGGGGAATGGAGGGAGGAGCTGGGAGGACTGGAGTTGGGGAGTACAAGGTGGACGTGACAAAAACAGAATGCATTCACATATGAAGGAAAAAATAATACAATAACAGTGCTGCCCAAGTACTCAATACTGTCTAATGGGTTCTGAATTGTGGACCAACGCAACATGGCACAGCCACTAAGCAGTTGCTGAAATTAATTTTAGTATTGGGAAGCTGCTCATAAACTGTTAAACTGAGCTGACGCAAGACAGAAAGATAGTAGGAAGGGTGAGAAGGGTAAGCCATTAAAACATGTACATAGGTGTGGAAGTCAATACACCAAGGGGTTAAGGGGATTGCTTCTGGATGTGTTAGAGGCGACTTCTTTTGTTTTCTAAATAACCTAATTTGTGGTGTCCATACACTTGTGGATGTGGGTATCCCCTGGAGAGTGGTTGACCTGCAGGGAGAAGGTGGCTACCTTAAGGAAAACAGATTCTCCCTTCCCCAGATGCCTCATTTAGGGGTGGGAACTTGTGATTCCCGGCCCCCTCCAGGTTGAAAGGTTGAATGCATTGGTCTTGTGCAGATCATCATTATAGCTGTGAATTCAAGAGTGGCGTGTCCTGAAGACACTGGGTCACTCTGATCCTTCCAGACCTCTGGCTCCTAAAATCTTTCTAGCCCCCCCTCCTCCAAGCGCCCCTCTTCCCCATGGTCTCTGAGCTTTGGAGAACGGATGCTACACAGATGGACTCAATCTTCTTTTAGACATTGTTTTCTAAAATACTTACGAGCATGCATGTAATTAATGTGTTAGTGTAAAAAGATCTCCTTTGTTCAAACAATGTAAACAAGGCCGGATGATAACCCGGAGAGAAGGCAGGGAGCCAAGGATTGCAGGCATATGCCACTTCTCTGAAAGTCTAGTGTGTCTGTCCCTATCACAAAATCTGGAGAGCAGCAACGTCGCCAACAGTCCTGGGCTTCAGAGGAAGCTGCCCATTGTCTCTGAACCTACATGCGCGGCCCTATGGCCTGGTTCCCTGCTTGGGTTTGAGGGTCATCGAGCCGGTGTTGCGCGTGCCATCGCTGCTTCCGAAGCCGCAGGGCGCGGGGCCGTTCCGCGGAGCTGCTTGTCCCCGCTGGCCAGCCGCAGCAGCGACGCGGACTTGGGGACGCGTGCGCGGGGCGGGGACCTGGTCACCCGCCTCCTCCGGCTGGGGAGTCCCCGGGGCCAGCGCGCGGGGAAGTCCCGAGCGCGGGTACAAGAACGCGGCGCGCGCCCAGGAGGGCGGCCTGGACGGTGGCGCAGCGCTCCAGCCATGTCGCAAGGTCTCCAGCTCCTTCTCCTCGGCTGCGGTACGGCCCCCAGTCCGTCGCCCCCACGCTGCCTGCGACTCCGGCTCGGTGGCCTGGCTTACGCTGCTCTATCTCTCCCTCTCTCTTACAGCTTGCAGCCTGGCTCCCGCGATGGCGATGCGGGAGGTGACGGTGGCTTGCTCCGAGACCGCGGACCTGCCATGCACAGCGCCCTGGGACCCACAGCTCTCCTACAGGGTGTCCTGGGCCAAGGTAAGCGCGGGGGTCTGAGCGGGTTTCTTGTGGGGACTACGGAAGCAGACAGCCAAGGGCCTCTCCTGAGGCCCCGGGTTGGGGACTCCAGCTATTCTGATACTCCACCTTCTTCCACCGGGCTGCATTTGCATCCGCATCCAGAACTCAAGCCCCTTTATGTTAATTCCTGACCGATCACGATCAAAGGCAGCTTGGCGTGAATGATCCCACAGAGGTTTGCAAGGGATTGGATCCATGCCGCAGGGCACCTGTGGGCGCAGCCAGGAGGCTGCAGAGAAAGCAACGTGGGCCTAGATTTAGACATGGTACAGAAAGCACGACCCCAGACTCCCGATGTCTTGTGCCTTGTGACCATGACACTTACAAAATACACAGAGAGAGGAGCATTTGAGAGGAAGGTCTCAAAAAGGGTCTCAAGTGATCTTGGCGTGGCCACAGGAGGTAGTTAGGAGTGGGTTTTTTTTTTTCTCTTTGTAGCTAAGGCTTGCCATTGGCTCGCCCCCACCTTGCTTCTGCTCTCTCTGGCAGTCTCTGAGGGGGTCCGGTCATGAATGAGGATTTCCATAGGAACTTATGGCAGCTGGGGGCCCAAACAGGAGTGAATGCTTCTCTGCCCCCTTGGTGGGAAATTAAGTTGTACAAGGAAGGATACTTGAAAAGGCTTCCTTTCAGCTAGATCTCAAGACTCCAAAATTGTAATGCCTGTGGTATTTTAAAGCCCTGCTGCTGTAACTTAATAGAGCTGGCCTTTGCATCCCTTCTTTAAGTGAGGTTCTGAGGCAGGCCACCTCCATTTTAAGGCAAACGAATTAAATCCCGGGGGGTTTGCTGACTTACCTCTGAGGAAACCTCTGTCTTGTTCTCGGTTTCCACAAAGCACAGGGCTTCCCACTGTGAAAGATGCTACAAAAGCTTTCAGCATGGATGGGTGTTTAAACATGCAAGGCAGCATAGGAGGGATAAGTGTGTGTGTGTGCGTGTGTGTGTGTGTGCGTGTGTGTGTGTGTGCGCGTGTGTGTGTGTGTGGTGTTTAACCACTTTAACCAATTGTCTGGACTAAGGGGTGGTAGCTCAGTGGTACAGTGCTTGCTTAGCATGCAAAAGGTCTTGGGTTCGAAACCCCAAGCATTAAAGAAAAACAAAACTAGTTAGCCAAATGGAAATTGCCAAGTCTCCAAGGACAAGGACTGTACCAGTGTTTCCTGCATTCTGCCCAGTGTCTACCCTGTTACTGAATCTAAGCTGGCACCATGAGGGAGGTGGCACTATGGAGACCTCAGGACACAGTCGTGTAGAACATTACAGGACAGTGAGTGTGGGTGTATGTTGGGTGAGGTAGAGTGGGTGAGCGAGTCAGGGGTTCCTATTGCTTCTTTCTTTCTCCTTTCTTCCCTTTGAGCTCAGAGAACAGGAGTCCAAAATTGTTTGAGTAGTCAAAACAATAGCACTTTAAAAAATGTTGTAAAAGCAATATTTGAGGGCTCACCATATGCCAGACGGTGGGAATAAATATTTACATATATTATCTACCTCTGTCTACTGGAACAGTGTGAGCTTAAGAGACTAGAACTATGCCTGTTCCTACTTCCTGATGAAGAGACAGAGCCTGGGGGAGCAAAATAAGTGGGCTTTGACCCAAGCTGTCAGATTCCAGATCTTGGGTTGTTAGACTGTCTTGATACCTGACTTTTTACCTTAGTTACTTTGGGTAAAGAAAAGCAAAGTGTCCCCGAGCCAGCCAGACAGTGGACTTAGCCATCTCAAGGAGGAAGCAAACATGAAGCCACGATCCCTCCCAGACTGTAATTAAAAAAGAAAGCATCATTAATATCCCCGGGGGAGTAATTAAAAAGTACTCATGAAACAAGTAGATGAAATTTCAGACTGTGAAGTTCAAACAGTTGTCAAGTTAAATCTTCTCGCCCAGGGTCGTTTGGAATGGTTCAGTAAATCATAGCAATTAGCCTTTGACCTCTCGTTGGATGTCGGCAGATGATGTAACTCTGTAATGTATGTGCTTGTTTATTGGACATAGTTCTTGCAAGGTCTGGCCTGGAGGTCTCTTAAAAATTCTTTCTAGAAAAAAAAAGTGTGTGTGTGTGTGTGTGTGTGTTACAGTGCTTGCTTAATATGAATGAAGCTCTGGTGATAAAAGGAAAAGGTATCTCTGTTCTCATCTGGGTTTGGTGGTTAGAGGAGAGGTACAGTGCTGACCCACTAACCAAGTACCTTGAAATCAGTATGAACTATTTCTTCCAGGACTTTTGTTATTTTCCAAGCCCCAAATTAACAGATTTGCATTGTTGCTGCTTGTATGACAAAAATGGGTAGAAAGTTCTAGAAAGAAGACCACTGGTGAGATACTAAAAGGTATTTTATGGATGAAGCATCCTATGTGTGGGATCAGTGTATGGAGAGCAGAGTCCCCTTGAAGTTTCACTGTCTGCCACACTGAAACACACTCTTCAGGCCTTCTGCCTATCACAACAGTGGTTACAAGGACACATGGCATAAAATTCCATTGGGTCCCATAGAACATCCCGCAGCTAGCCAGTTGGCACCGATGCCTTGTGCTTAAAAAAGGACTCCTGCAAGCCATACCTTAAAAATACCATTTGCCTTTTACCAAAAACTCCAAGCAGATGGAGTTCAGTTAGTGTCTGTATAAACACTGATGGATTGGGCCGTGTCAGACTTTGTTCTTTGTTTCTAAGATGTGGTGATGGGGAGGCCGGAGGGACCCAACAGAGACAAGCATAGAAGATCAAAGGCCAAAAGCAGACGGTACCAACCCAGTGTCCTGTAGCACAGCTCTCCCTTCTGTGGCCCGTGCCCTCCTAACTGGAACCCCTGAAGATGCCTTCTTCCCTTCCCTTTTAAAGTAGAATGGAAGATGGAGAAGAAATAGGAAAATTAATAGGTTATATCCACTGGGACTGTAACTCAAGTTAGCTTTTTGAAGTTCTGATAGATTGCAGCTTGGGTGGGAGGAGGTAGTTTGAGAACACAGGGAAATATGCTTTGATCCCATTCTTATGCTGTTGGCCATGACATTTATTTGCATTGTGGTTTCGGAGGATGGACCTGGATATAAGGGTCTGTATGAGGGGCTGTGCCTGTACTTGATGGAGTGTCTCTGTTGTCTGTGCTCGTTTCCACGAAGCTCAGAAGGTTTGAAGAGAGAACACAACTCCAGATAGACAGCTTTGGCCATGGTCGGTGTCCTTCTCTGCTAACAAGGAGAGGCTTACTGTGCAGATACAGCGCCATCCTTGATCATGCTAGGAGGCCGGACGACCTACAGTGAGGCAAACTGAAAGGGGATATCTGATGTGGCCTCTGGGTGATACTGTGGGGGTGGGGACAGCCATGTGTCACAAGACATGCTCTATTTAGATGATTGTCAAAGGAAGGGAGAAAGGAGAAGTAAGACAGTGATTTCAGAGAATGGGCCACACTTGACTTTAGGGGTTAGAAAAGCTTTGAGTAGGGCAGATCGTGGGTGGTCTGGCCCAATGCTGCCTTCTGTTTCTGACACTCATGCCGGGGGCACTGCTGGAAAACAGGTCATCTGACAGTGCGAGGCTAGGCCACACCAGTGTATTGGCCTCAGCTGTATTGCAGTCTCCCTTGGATGCTGGCCACTAAGGTATTTCCTCTCTACCAGTGTGTGATGCTGAGCTCCAAGGGCAAAGCCTCTGGAAAGAGCAGAGGGGTCAGGGTTGAAACCATCCCTGGGGGCTACCCGTGAGTTAATAGGTACTACTTGTTGAGTTTCCCTGATTCTCAGAGGCAATCTAAGATCATGATTTCTGGAGAAAAAGAAACATTTCCATATTAAATTTGGAAGTACTGAAAATCTGAAATGTGAGAACTGTATGTGCACTAGACTCAAAGAGAAACACCACTGTCCCCATAGGCATGTGTCCTCCTTGCTTTGGAAAAATCAATTTTAGCTCAAACTGTGAAAGACATAAAGTTGGTTTTTTTTTCCGTGTCCTTCATATTTAAACCATTATTGTAATACAAGTATGTGTCAAGTCCTGGGCCTGGTGATAGTTATCCCAAAATCAACATGGAGAAGATGACTCAGCCAGTAAAGTGCTTTAGAGCCCCAGCACCCATGTGAAAAAAGTAGCTTCAATGGCTAGGGTCTGTAACACCAGTGCAGATGGCCAGGGATAGGGGGAATCCCCAAAGCTCATTAGCCAGGGAATCTAGTCAAATCCGTGAGTTGTTTGAGAGACCCTGTCTTGACAGACTAGGTGGAGGGTGATAGAGGAAGACATCAGATATCCACATACATGAACATACACGTATACACACCTATACCCACACTCAGAGACAAAGCAAACATTTCCAGAGTAGCATCTTAAGTAAGGGCATAGAAGTATACCACATAGCAGCCTTGGTCCAAGTGAGGTAACTAGTGATCCAGAAAGGAAAATTACACAGCAGGTAAACCCAGAGATGATGCTGGGGCACCCAGGATGGAGACAAAATGTGCAGTACTCTAATGTCAAATGATAGTGAATCCACGACATGCTATCTCAGCGGTGGTGAGCCACTGAAGGATTTTCAGAGAATGATGACATACAAATCTAAGGAAGAGCACATTTCTCAAGGTGATGGGAAGAACGGAACTCATCCATGAAGACACATCTTTGGAAGCCTGTGATCTTTTACTGCACTGAAACTCCCATCAGGCTAGCTCTTTGGAGGTTACAGCACGTCTTTGTTTCTTTGGATTTTCTCCATCACCATTTCTGTGTGGTCAAGGAAGGTTGAGGCCACCTCTGAGAGGACGGAGGAAGTCTCAGCCAGACTAGAATGGTGGCTCATTGAGGGCTTGGACATGGCCGAATATGGCTGAACATGGCTGAACATGGTCTTCTGGAAGGTAGAAAGAGGGCAGCCATGAATTGAAGAGAAACACCACCAACAACAAGAAAAAACCCCAAACAAACCAATACATGTTTTCCATGAATACGAGGGGG